CATACCAGCTAACAATATGGATAGCTAAGTTATAGTTTGAAAACATTTTACATTCAAGCTTTTTAGCTGTGGGGGGGGGGAACATAGATATTCCTGCTGTCTGTTTATACTCTTCTGGGAAATGCATTCTCTCTGGTAACACACCCTGTTCTGAATGGTTATACACTTTCCTAAATAGAAAAGTAAATTTATACAAATTCTAGAAGCGACTGGCCTAGGCCACTGTGTTCCTTTTGAAGACCCTCCCCCTTCCCTTTTGCCATCTCCCTTTAACCAGAAATCACATCTGGTTTCAGTCTGATATCCTTCCACTCTCAGGCCCTTGGTTCCCCCCACGAGCACAATTTGGTCCATTTATCCCAAAGTGCTTTGCCCCTAGTCAAGTACCCTTTTTTGACCGCAATAACATATTTTCATAATTTTGACAACTTGCAGCCAAGGTCGTGAAGCAGAGAGCCTAAATTTCCTCCACAATGTGGGTGCAAGATCCAAGTACTGTACATTGTGTGTGTGACCTCCCCGCGTGTCTGTGCTATAGCATAGAAGTTCAAGAAGTTCTGTATTTTCATGTTCTGTGAGTTATTTATTGCATTTAACGTATCACAGGTGCTTTACCATCATTTTGAACAAATTACATCTCATTCTTTTGCAAGTGCTTGATTCGGGAATTCAATTTTTTTTGCTGAGGGCCCTTCCTTAATTATGTAGTGCGTTTGAATATGTTAAAATTACATGCTTTCCATTCGCAGAGGATTTTGCACCACTTAGAAAGATGACACATTTTTTGGGGAGGGGTTGGAATAGTGGTGTCATGTTGTTACTATGTTCAAGGTCGACACATACCAACAGCCTGCCACCTCATCCTTTTGCCAAATAGTGAATAACAAGATCAGAGAAGCTTGTAATTTCCATGGCTTTTCCACTGGAAAACTGTAAAGTGTATCAAAATGGGCCATATGTGCCGCTCATTAACAACAGTGCCTACATCTTTAAGTGTGTGTTTATGTTTACATCAAGGACACACAACAAAAGAGCTACTGTACTGGTACATGGGAGGACAGAAGGCCCTCAGAAACATTTTCCTCAGTCTCTTAGGTATGTACATCTTGGAGAGAGGAGTGCAAGAGTAATCGCTTTTACATTTCCAGGAGGAGAATCTGCCCTGAACTGATGACAGTGTTCTCGTGTTAAAGCGAACCCACTTCTCTTGTCGTGTGTGTATCTATGTGGGAAAAAAGTACAACACAAAGTTTGAGAGAACTTCTTATTGAGGATGATACGGTGCCTCAAGGACCCGCTTGTGAATTGTCCTATCACGGTACAATCAGGCCTACGCAGCTTGTGGAGTGTTGTCCATTGACATGCCACACAAAATGGACGTAGGATGCGCAACGTCTGAGACAAAACTCGGGGTGCAAAGTCGCAAAGGGTGATGTCGGTCAGTTTGGCCAGATAGGGAGCTGTTACCAAGTTAGAAAGCCGGCATGGGCCTTGGCTCCAACTGCAAATAATGCACATACCTATGGGAGTTGCTAGCTTGCGGCTTCTTGTGCTGGCCATGGACTGTTTGTGCTGCGGCCAAGTAATTCAGACGTAGTCCAAGTATTTTCCTTAAAACTGGCTGAATTATAATGAAGAAGTTCCAGGTATTATGTAGACTGCACTCTATCATCCCCTTCTTACCTCTTAAAAACTTTTCTGGTGCTACTTAATGTACTTCCTGCAAGGCATTAAGAAAAGTAGAGAAAGATGTCATTAATCTTGCCAGCTTCCGTTACGCACGCCAAGGGATACTTGGACAACACATGTCCTGATGATCGGATTGTTTCCGGATAGCTTGTTCGGTTCCTGTAATTGCTACAATCTCCTAACTGCTAAAATACGCCATTGTGGACGGCAGATGCCATTCAGGCTTCCTTTGGGAGCAGTGACTACTTGTCTATGGTTTTTGTGGCTGACTGGGCCACCACTCGGAGTTTATTTGACATTTCCTGATGGTGCACCACTGTGGGCCAGCCACACCGTCCCCAGGTAAATGCTTTCCATGAGGTGACACACCTTTGTAGACGGAATTGGGCATTACTCCTTGGCAGAGGCCTTTAACAGGTTTGGCAGGCTCAGGGAGGAGGAGGTGGGAAGGTGGCCTTTGTTCTGTTGCTGGAGGTATATGCTCTTGATCAGTCCATTCCCTGAACTAACTAAAACCTGTCTTTGGCAATTAAAAATGCAACACTTTCTTTATGCAAGGGTGCGAGTTTTTTAATATTAAAAAGAAGAGCACAGTAGAGTTCACAGTTGGGAAAGGATCCATTATTAAAATCATGTAAACGTATTATGGGAGCCTTTGAAAATATCCTCAGTATGAATAACAGAGCAATACAAGGTCCGTGTTTGAACACATATTTATTCACATGTGGGTCTTAACATCCAACTTTCTTTTTTGTCCTCTTCCCTTGGATACGGAAGCTCAGATTCTGCAAAGCATATATGCTGTACATTCAGAAGTCAACATGTAAAGTGCCTCCTGACAGTGTATGTCTTGAGAAGATAACACCCATATGTCTGATCAAAAAACAGAAGTGCCAGGCGCAGAAAATTTAATGTAGCCACTGGCGATTCACTGTTCACGGCTCTTGCCCACATGATGCCCCATGGTTTTAGTGCACAATGCAAATCTAACATTGGTGCAAAGCCGTGGAAGGTTGGGATTTACATGTAGGCTACATGTATTCTATAAATTTGGGGTTCAAAGTTTGGGTTTTTTTTTGTCCCTGTTACATCTGACATGATTGCTCAAGTTCAGAACTCACTCTTTCATATCCAAGAGTGATTAAGTAATGCCAATTACCTGCATACAAAGAAAAAAAACCAGTTTGGAATCAATTTCAGTGATATTTCCACATCAAATTACACAGATCAGGTGTTGGACAACACACATGTTGCATTGGACTACAGATTTGTAGAACAACTTTAAATGAATTTAAAAAACTGCAGATTGCTCAAATAGAAAATGCTGATCATTTCAGCCTGGCAACTTCGTTTTGCACAAGCCTAAAGAAATTGTAAATTATGTCGGGATTAAAGCCAAATTACACTCACAATTCCTCTGTTACTCTATCTGAAGCAGGGACACAAATATCTCAGTGCTAGTTTGTGCAATAGCTCCCTTTTCCTGGAGGTAGTCATTTGTTTTCCCCTCAGCGCTGATCCATTTTCCCTTTGTTGCGCAAGCTTCCACAACCCGGCCTCCGTGATGTCAACATTTTCCTCTCCCGTTGATGAAGGAAATGACTGGAAATGTTGCGTCAGCAACGATGGATCGTTGTGACAGTTGGTACTGTGTATCTCCTTGTCAAGGACAGCCAGCTTATCACATGCTCATGACGTAGGCCTCTCTCCTCGTTTTTTTTTTGTTGTGAACATAACGACACTGCGGGATGGACCGATAGTGATGAGTCAGTCAGCTCCAATTTGGAGTGTCTCTAGCCTCATCAGCTCGATGACTCATTTAATTACATGTCGATTTTGAAGAGGAAACGGCTTTTTCATTTGCAGTCATTTGCAGACGTTTACATAGGTTCTGGACCTACCTCCCCAGAAATAATCATTTTGTTGGTTTTTGGAACCTGTGTCGTCCCTTTTGTGGAGCGTCTGCAGAACAGTGATGAGTATGAAATCTGAAACCTTTTGTTCCTGCATGATTACTCTCACACTGACCTCATTTGCAGAGGGGGATGACAACAGGGGACCACGCCCCCAAAGCCATTTTTTTCTTTTTCTTTTTTGGTACAGTAGGATTTTTTGGACAACTCATCAACCTCCTTCCAAAAGCTGTTCTAAACTCTAAAATTTGGGCTATTGAAAAATCCTCAAATTGTTTGTCCCTCCCCTCGAAAAGTAGACTATCCCCCCCCCCAAAAAAAATGATTCTGGATTTGTTTCTGACTTACCTGTAGTGTGCTGCCACGGTATTTTTGGCCTACAAAGCTCCTCGGAAGATACATATTTAAAAAATCTGAGATTGTTGCTAGTAATGTTTATTATTTAATGTTTATTTTCTTCCCAGTGGCCAGAGGGGGCCTTTTGTAGTAAGCATTTGGAAAAGTGGGGCTTCTTTGACCGACCATGACCACATCTGTTACAATTGTTAAACACAAAGGGAACAGTAAATGAGTTACTAATAACTAATCCGCCATAAACCCTCTGCCAAAGTGCACCAAGTCACATCAATTGTTCTACCCCAGTTGAAGTGATAAATAACTGAGGATTGGGAGGGGGGGACTCCAAGTCAGTGCACATGAGTAAACTCCATTAACTACCAGTGCAGAGCACCGGTGGGAGTTGCACAAACAACCGATTGGCCATGCTACCGGCCACAACCAATCCCTCCCCCCATCATTCACTTCTGTCTCCTTGACGATTTGGGGGGCATGTCATGTGATCCAGAGCTCTTTCTAGATGCACTCTTGTATTTATGACTTTTTAATAGTCAGGTACCAAATTAATAACTCTGTCTGTTTCAATATTGTCTGCTTTTTAGGATGGTCCTTGCAATGGCAGAAAAAAGAAGCATGTTTGTTTCAGCATTCATGTCAGTGCTGTTACTTTAGCCTTGTGGTCCACTGGCCTTTGAATTCAAATTTGAGAACCAGAGAAATGTTGCCAAGTGTTGATTTAACAAGTCTGACCAATGATTGCCATGAGGAGTTATTTTAGAATGCAGCTCTCCTCATACACTAAAAAACAACTTTTCTACTGCACCCTTCAAAACACTTAAACATTTTTTAAAGTCAACAGTCTGACAGTCAGATTGAGGTCAAACATTCATATTGCCACCTCCCCACAGTATGTGACTTGAAAATATTGATCCTATTTGTGTTGTATGATAACTGCTAAATGTAGAAAGTTCCTGGACTGATGTACAAATATGTCTGCCTGGGTACTCAAGGCTGTATTTGTTATGCAAGAGTTATTATTTCATTGACCTGTTTCTTTGACAGCTGCACGGCTCTTCTCAGAGAGCAGCCAGCAAGCAATTCAAGAAGCCCTGCAACGTCTTGCCCGCCGACAGGCTGTCCGCCAGTACTCTGCCTCCAGCAGCCAAAACCAGAACGTGGTCACCCAGCAGTACCTGCAGCACTACAACAGTGGTGGCAGCGGTGGGATAATTCCAGCTCCCGCTACTGGTCACCACCACCAGGCAAGTGCGAGTCTAACCAGTGCAGCCAGGGCATCTGCTCATGCCTCCAGGAGCTCCAGCAGCCTGGTCAACCCCCACCAGCACCAGCACAGCCGGGGTCACAGCTGGGATGGGCTGAGAAGCCAGAGCAACAGCACTTTGGATGGCAGCATGCCAACATCTTGGACTGCTGCCCAGCCTTCTATTAGCCAGTCGGCGAGCGCCAGCCAACTGAGAAATCAGTTCAGCAGCCAGGACCTTCCTGTGAATGGTACAAATGTCAAGGGAACGGCAGACGAACCCAGGAATGGAGATGGTGAAATGTTATGGAAAAGGGACACAACTGGTGCCCATCATCCCCAGCAACAGCGGATGCACAATCCTTTGGGGAGCCAGCATTTTCAGAATGTGCTCCAGCAGAATGGCTTGAGGTCCCCGTCCAATCCAAGCAGCGACGAAGGAGGTAGGGCAGCCCAGAAACAACCCCTGAGCCTTCAAGAGAAGAGGCAGATTTCCCATGACATGACCCAGCAGAGCAAGGCAAAACACCAAGAAAAGGCAAGTAGAGCTACGTTCTCACGCCACCTTTTGTTTTCAAGTTTTTAGTGCAACCAAAGTCCAAATGCTGAAGTGACAGGGGTTGTTCATTGAATCTGTGCAGGGATGAAATGTATCAAATCAATGCAGACACAAAACAAACCCCAAAACTACATATTGCAGACCTCACTTCCAAGGTTGTATAACTGCTAAAGGTTTCTGAAGGATGCAGTGCTGTAGAAATAGAGATCAGGTTGATAAAACTCTTAGTTTTCTCCAAGATTTCTTGCCCAGTAAAATGTAGTGTTATTCTCTCCTGAAGAATTCTAAAAAGCTATTAGACATGTTTCTCTCCGTTCTTTTTGCGTTTTCCTTCAAGCCACATTTAAATGTATATAAATTGTACATTATGACATGGTAGTCAGTATTTTTGTGGGTTGTGTTCAACCTTCCTCTCAAAAGTGCACCAATCTGCTCTTCATCCTCCATGAAACTTTGGTCCGAAAAACTATGCGCACCCCAAGACTGAAAGTGTTTATTGTCTGAAGATACACTTCAAAGTCCTAGAGAAACAATCAAAGTTTTTGTGTTGACCTTGACTCTCTGGCATTCTGTCCAATATGTTTCTGTCAGTCAACATCATTCTACAATATCCCATTCGCACCACACTGTCTGAGCATTCTCAATGCATCCAAATCATTTTACCATCCATTCAACTGCAGAACAAAAAGGCTCTTGAAAGAAGCACACTAACACTGTTTTTTGTGGACCAGTGAAGTTACCTGCATTCTTTCTCCCCCTCTTTAACCAGTGACATTTTAGGGCTGATAATCACAGTGAACACACAAATGAAACTCTGAAGAGTTTAACTTATCCCCAAGCGATGTGCTATTGTATAACGCACCCCTCCCAAAGTACCCCATAGTCCACTTGTGTGATAGATGAATACAATTTGAAGCACCACTGGTTGTCATCAGCGCATTAAACCAAATAACCCCCCAAGCACTTACAGCCATCAATGGAGTCAGCAGGTGTGGATAGTCCGACTTGATTATATAAACCCAGGGAAAAAATCCTGGGGATTTAGGAAACAGTACTTCGGGGGCACGTAGGGCAGAAAAAGGATTGGTTGTGGCCAGAAGATAATACAAGAGATCCGGTGGCATTGTGTTGTGTTTTGTAATACGATGATCTGCAGATTACTGGTTGACACATAGCAGACATAGCCACGAGAAAAAGGCCGACTTTTGGCAGTTGCCAGGTCTTGGCCATGTTGTTTCTGAATTTATTTCCGGGTAAAAGTACATTTAGAAGAGCCGGCTGACTTGGACAGCCTGAATGTCCTTTGAATGACATCCAAATACGTGCCCTGACAAAGTGTCCCAGAGGTAAATTTTTCTTTTGAACAGTCAAGTTGCAGGTACTATTTATGCACCAACAATTTTTGAGCCATTTGTAAACAAAAATCTATATCTGCTTTTTTCCCCCTCCCCTTGAAAGTATCCTTATTTTGGTAGGTGACCTTCAGTCCTTAACTTGTTTATTCAGTTCACTTTGAAGTTGCTGGAGCTATGCATGGTAAACTAATCAAAGAATTTGAAGACTGCCAGTCATTGCAGTAAATCCTTGCAGCCCCTGCCTGGCCCCCTTGGTCTGTCCATTGAGTATGGTCTCTACCATGGTTGCCATGCTTCGTGCTCAGTGTGACATGCAGAAAAAAAAAGTTGTTGAAACAAGTACATGCAGTTGTTCTGAGTTGATGGATAAGAGGTAAGGTAGACCATAATCACATCATACCAAAATTCTGGAATATTTCAGACCAGTCTTTGGACGGAAACCTTGAGGTATAGAATTACTATCCTCCAAGTACTGTGGGATTATATTTTGTCACAAGCAAGTCTGGTTTGTATTTGGCCAGCAACACTCAGCTGGGAGAATGGTCAGTTGAGATACTGGCCCCTTTTAAATTCAAAGTGTAGTTTAGTTGTGAGCTTGTCCAGGTTTTATCTTGACCTTAAGTGTGGCCATCAAAGCAAGTTTGCCACAGGGATTGTCTGTTCAATCTCCACTAAACCATCAGGTCATTGGTTATTTTATGCCTTGTCCTTCCCTTCACTGTACTTGGAGTTTGCAAATCAAACATCGTTGAGCAATTATCCCAAGCAAAAAAAAACAAGATAACCAAATACATGCACAAGTAAGTCTCAAAAAATTACACCTTGGTAGGCAGACTTGTATATATTGGTCATAATATTCAATGCTTTGGAAATTGCAGACTCTAATATGTGGGTTCTCCAGTTCTCGCAAGATGTGTTGAATTCTAAGTCACAAAGATTTGAGTAAAGAACCTCAGTTACTTGTCATTTTCACAATTAAAAAGGATTGAAGAAAAGTTTGGTGCATTCAGTTACAATTTTTGAATATAACTGCACCTCCTAAGATGACCTTCAGTTGCACCAACAGAACAAGAGGAAATGCTTCATGTTTCAATTAAAAGGATCTACAAACAACAGGCTAATTGAACAGATGTGAGGTGAATAGGCCTAAATAATTTAAATTATCCTCACTTTCCCGTCTAGGTGTCCTTTTTCCATGGTTTCATTGAGGCCAGAAGGGGGTGCTATTAAAATGCCCACTGTGATGTCTTCCATAAAGGCCAGCCCTCTTCAAACCCCAACAGGGTCACAGTTCACTGACCCTGTTCCTTGGGGGACACAAGATTACTTTACCACCAAAGACCTATTTCTAGAGTCCGACATGTTTAAAAAAAAAAACACTTGACATTTATTCTTTATTGGTCATTTCCAAACTACCAGTAATCCTGTTGGACAGGGCACTTGTATATTAAACACTGCCCCCCAGGGCTACCAGTCAGACCAGGCCTTTGATATTGTTCCACCCTTTGTTAGGGCTAGGATCCTTGTTGAAAGTGATCCCCATGCCCAATTATTGGGGCTCATACCGGGGGACCACTTGTAACACATTGCAACCAGGGTTTTTTTTAGTATCATAAGAAGCTGGTGTGAATGGTTTGACGAGGTGGGAGATATTGATAGGGGTGGGCTGGGTAGTGTTGGGGGGGGTGTGATCCCAGGAGAGTCTGTGTCAGTTTTGGAATGAGATGTGAGGAGTTCCAGTTTTGGAGCCTTACCCACTTGTGAGGAAATGTGTTGTAAACTGATCAGCCTACTCCCTGTCTCTGTTTCCTCTATAGTGTTCTTAAGACTCCTTTTCACCAGTGCCAAGAATCCACTAAGCCTGTATGTGCTACATTGTCAAATTGGCAACATTTTTAAAATGGCCTGTTTACCATCAAATATTTGTTCAGTTGGAGGTTTTCATAGCAGAGAGTCAATGTGAAGCTTTGCTGTAGGCCTACGTGTACATGTATATAGCGCTGGGTTCTTTTGTGATTTGCAAGTGTGACATGAATGTGGTCCTTCAGAACTTGCTCCCTTTGTAAGACGAACAGACTATGCCCCTCAAATATGTGAGTAGAACGGTTCAACTTGAATAACAATGAACCATACATGTACATAGTGCATGGTGCTTCCACAGAACTGAAGAATACAGTGTACATTCTCCAAGAGTAGCACTTTATGAATATTGCTAGTAGAGCAGTAGCCGGTTTTTCACGAAATGTGGCGTAACTTTGAACCATTCGTAAGCCTTGGGCCACAAATTTGTGCTGTAGGTGTGCAATATACTTTCGATTTCACAAAAAGTTGCCAATACATGTACAATGTTTCAATAATATTACATTTCTTGAATGAGGGTGAGGACAGTCACTGCTTTTACGACAACAGTCAGCAAGAGTTGTCGATTTACCTCCGCCCGTTATTTTCAAAACGTTTTCGTTGTCCTGACTGTCTGTGTCCAAACTGAATTCAGTTCTCCGTCTACATGTATTTGATTTGATGACAAAATAAGAATGAAGACCATCACTTGTTTTGTGAATTGTGTAGTACTTGTATGTATGCAGTATTTGTATATAGTAGACCGTCAGTACAGCAAAATTTATTTTTAAATATTTGAGAATCATGAACAGAAAAATAACATCCTCAAGTGACAGAGCATTCAAGATATCCATTAGAACAGAAAACTGCACAAATTTAGAATTTTAGCCACAAGAATTCAGTGGTGTGAGTGACAAAAACAGAGATTTTCTTCCATCTTGGCAGACACAGCCACTTACAAGTGGTTCATCTAATCCTGCAAGGCCAGTGAATTCCACACTGCCAGCCACTCAAGCCTGTTAGTGTGAGCTACCAGCTTGGCTCCAACTGAAACCCAAATATTGGAAGTGCACTGGCGTAAACAGGAGAAATTGCACAACCCCTAGACACAAACACTCTAGGCTCATAAATCAGCCGCACCTGCTAATTGGCAAACTTGACAGAAATATTGATCCTGCCTGTTCATTATTTTAGACCTTATGGATGTTCAATGCGCTCTCATTAAACAGGTGGGACCTGTGGTAATGATGTGGCTAGATTTGAAGAAACACATCCAGGAAATTGAAATGGAATATTTGTTTTCTTCTCCAAATTTGTCAGGCCATGATCAGATTGATGAGACTGCTGCTAAATCTTGCAGAGGCACTGGTATTTGGTTGTGGCA